TGTTTGTTTTGGGTTTTATTGAGAGGGGGGGGGGCAGAGTGAAAAAAAATAACAGAGGCAAAAAGACAGAGACAGAGAGAGAAAGAGATAGAGAAGAGACGTAGAGGCAATGACAGAGAGGTAGAGAGAGGAATAAAGATAGATGAATAGACATAGGGAGAGGGGGTAGAGAGAGAAAAGACAGCGGCTGACAGAGAGAGAGAGAGAGAGAGAGAGAGAGAGAGAGAGAGAGAGAGAGTGGGCAGTACTGGTCCACAGCATGCCTGTGAAAGCTGTATTGGCTGGACAGCCGGACACTGGACGTGAGAAGGGGGCAGGAAAAGAGAAGGACGGAGTGAGGAGGGAGGGGAAAGTGGCGGGGAGAGGAGGAGAGAGGGGGAAAGGGAGGGGAGGGGGTTCTGACGAGGCGTGGTGGGGAAGGAAGGAAGGAAGGAAGAAAGGGTATGAGGAGGAGAGAGTTTTGGTGAAGGAGGACGGCATAGAGGCGAAAGAGGAGAGGAGAAGGATGAGAAGGAGTGGGGAGGAGGTAGAGGAGGAGGAGGAGGAGGAGGACGAGTGTAAGGGTGGGAGGGTGGCGGAGAGAGAGGGAGGGAGGGAGGGGAGGGGAGAGTGGTGGTGGTGGAGGAAGGCTAGCCGAGAGGAGAACGAACATTGATCGTAGGGATAGTTCAGCGGGAATAATGATATGGCTTTGGCCCGAGTAGAAAGTATTGATCGGTTTTTAAAATATTGTGGTCAAGCCCTCAAGTACCAGACTTAATGAGGGTCCAGCAAGGGGCTCATTTCCTTGTCATAGAGATAATGATTTGCATAATGGCGGGCTGCCTCTTGGGGCCCCCCTCTGAGGCTTGTATAAGTTTAACATTTCTCATTATTTTTGCTTTGGTAATGCTTGAGAAGTTCTCGCTGTTTGTAATTACAGTTGTTTATGCTTTAGGTAGCCACAATGGACAGGCCGTGATACAAAGTCTAGACAGGTCCTTGTTTAGAGAGCGAGATGGGAGAAAAGGGGAGGGAAATGGGTGGAAAACGGACGGAAAGGGGGAAAAGGAAGAAAAGGGGAAAATGGGGGAAAAGGGGAGGAAAAGATGGTGGAGAAGAGAAAAAGGTGAACGAGGGGGAGGGGGTCGGGGAAAAGGGGGTTAGGGAGGGAGGGAGGGGGAAGTTTAGTTTTTGTCTTAGTAAAGGTTTTACGGTGCTTGCAACTGCGTAAGGTCGTATGAGCGCCAGAAGATTAGAAGTGTTACAAGAGAGTAACAAACATAAAAAAGAAGAAGGGGGAGATAAGGACAATAGACGTTTGATAGGAAAGAAGAAGCACACCACACCAGAGCACCCACCAACCACTCATGGTGGGGGAAGGGGAAATCGAAAAACTTTTGTTTGTTTTTGTTTATTGGAGTCAAGAGAGGGGAAGCGACGTGATAATGTGTTTGTTTGTTTATAGGAATAAAGAGAGCCATGACTGTTTACTCTTCGTTTATTAGAATAAAGAGAGGCACAGCGACATGATGTTTAGTTGTAGTCAGTGTTTACTGCACTTGCAACACAATAAAGTCATATAAGTGCCGAAGATTAGAGGTGTCACCCTCAAACACACACAACAAAGGGCACACACACACACACACCTCTGAACTGCTTGCGGCCGGCCAGCTTGACCAAGTCATGGGGGACGTCTGGCAGCACAAGGTTGCACACACACACACTAACATACACACACGCGCACACACACACCCTCCCCCCCACACCCACACACACCTCTAAACTGCCAGTTTGCGGCCAGCCAGCTTGATCAGGTCGTGGGGGACGTCCAGCAGCACAAGGACGCACACACACACACACACACAAACACACACACACACACACCCACACACACCTCTAAAGTGCTGGCGGTCGGCCAGTTAGTGGCCAGCCAGCTTGATCAGGTCGTGAGGGACGTCCAGAGGCACAAGGACAACCCCCCCCACACACACACACATACACAACAAAGTGGACACACACACCCCACACACACCCACACACGCACCTCTAAACTGCTGGCGGTCAGCCAGTTTACGGCCAGCCAGCTTGATCAGGTCGTGGGGGACGTCCGGCAGCACAAGGACGCGGTTCAGGAACTCAATGGCCTGCTCCAGGTACTCGTTGCTCATGTACTTGAAGCCCAGCTTGTCCAGAGTCAAGGCCTTCCCGTAGTGACCCCGCGGGCTCGCGATGTTGTTGCGGAGGATGTCGTCGTAGACTCGGATAGCCTCCTCCAACTTGTCCTGTTCACCACGCCAAATGAGAGACATAATGCGTCACGACACGGTGGAAACAGGCACTCGTCAAAATAATGAAATCTGAAAAACCGGCAATTCTCAGCCAGTTTGGCAATATTTATCGAATTTTAGTATTTTGGCTAAATATTTTATATGTCTAATTAAAAACATATTTTGGTGTGGATTTTACAGAAAAACGTTGATTAAAGGCATAAATATTGCAAATTTTCTGTTCCCAAAGTCTCTCAATCTGTGTAAGTTGCCGAACTTTGGTGGCCATTTTCTTGCTAATTTTACCTCTGAAACTAGTCGATCCTCACCTCGTTCAATCGCAAATATCTTGACTTCTATTCAAGAGGGATGAATATTTCTTTCATCGAAAGCAAGACAAATGAAAAGGCTTTAAGCTGATACCAATAACTCTATATGCCCAGAAATTGACGAGCCTCTGATTCCATCGCGTGTCATGACACAGTGGAATCAGGTGCTCATCAAATTTTGAGCATGTTGAGTTAATGGTATCATGTGAAAGATGATTTATTTGCCTTGCTTTCAACGAAATACCTATCCATTTATCTTGAGTAGAACTCAAGATATTTGCGACTGAAGAAACTGAGGTCGCCTGGTTTCAGTGGCGAAATTAGCGAGCAAAAGGCAGCCAAGTTAGGTTACTCTAATAACAAAAGAGTTTTTGAAAACTGAAAAATGACATATTTTGTGCCTTTAATCCTTGTTTTTCAGTAAAATTCACATGGAAATGTGTCTTTATATGGACATAAAAGAGGTTAAGCCAAAGAGTAAACATTCGATCAAAAGTTCCCAATTGGCGGGGAAAATGACTGTTTCTCCGATTTCCTTATTTTGACGAGCGCCTGATTTCATTTACTTTTTTGCTGCCTTATCGAAAGTCGTTTCATGTAAATTTATTCACTAACAGAATAAAAGCGTTTCTCTCATTGTTTTTATTTAGTCGTTTCAAGAAAATAAAGTCACAGACAAAGGCAAGATATTTTTTTTGTGTCTTTACTAATAAAATTAATTCACAGAAAAAGGGAAAAAGAAAAGTTCCTTCTATTGCCTTTAATATGTTATTTAACAGACATTACTTCCCAGACAAAGGAAACAGCATTTATTTCACAGCAATTTTTAAAAGTCGTTTCACAGACAAAGAAAAGCATTGAAAAAAAAAATAATTTTGTTTTACAAAATTTGTTTCTCCAAAATGAACACCACAATAGGCACCAATTTTTGCTATATATACATACTGCTGTATTGTGAAGTCCATCTAGGCAGATTAAGGGACTGAGTGGAAGAGATAAGGATGTTAGTAGCAGGACCCTTACTAAGCACAGCCAACAAAAACTGACAAAAGTGACATATAAAGAAATTATTAAAAATATAATGAAGGACTAAATAGTAGTGTTTCCCATTAACCCTTCCAGCCCGGGTCAGTTTTGTGCACTCCCTAACCCAAGTCCCAGCCAATACAGCAGTGTGTCAGATAAAGAGGCATGCATTATAAAAGTGAATCAGTATCTTTGTAATAAGGTTTAGACAATAACATATAACAAAGTTTAAATGTAAATGAACAAATAATATTATGAAAATTAAAGTTTAATTAGCTTCGCTAATTTCGAAAAATGCGAAGAAAATTCAGTACCCCCGAAACTGAGAATATATGCTCTTGGGACTGTGGGAGGTACAAGCGCTGCTGAAAATATATAAGCCCATGGGGCTGGAATGGTTAACACTTTTATCTAGATCTATATGACTAAGATGATAATCCTTCTTATCCCTAAAACTATTACTATTACCATTATCGTTATATTATCATTTTCTCTACTCACATCATTCATCAGCGTATCGGCACTGTCCAGTTTGGCAGCAATCTTCAGGTCCGCGTCGCTGGTGACCGAGGACAGCTGGTAGGTGGACCTTTCCAGGGGCGGGGGGTCGACGGGGGTCTCTTTCTGACCTTTTCCTTCCTTCTTCTCTACCTCCACGTTGGAGCCACCCGCCTCGTTTCCGCCGGTCGCTGCACCTGCTCCTTCTTTTGGGACCTCGGGTTGTTGGTCTTTCTGGTTTGGAGACTGCTTCGCTACTTTCCTGTTCTCCGTCTTTGGTGGTTCTTCTTTCTTTTCCCCTCCTTCCTTCTGCTGCTGTTGCTGCTCTCTGGCCGTTTTCGCAGCAGCTTCCTCCTCTTTCAATCTTGATGCCTCTTTCTGTTTCTCCGCTTCCTTCAACTGTTGTTCTTTTAAACGTTTCTCCTCGGCCTCCCTTTCTTTCTTTTCATTCTCTGCTTTCAGGCGAAGCTCCTCTGCTTTTTTTGCTTCTTCTTCCTTCAATTTCTGTTCCTTCTTCTTCCTTTCCTCTTCTTTTAGTCTTTGCTCCTCTTCCTTTTTCTTGGCTTCCTTCACTCTTTGCTCTTCCCTCTTCTTCTCCTCCTCTTGTTCTTTCAGCTTTTGTTCCTCTTGCTTTTTCTTCTCTTCCTCTTCTCTCAATTTCTGTTCTTTCCTTTTCCTTTCTTCCTCTTCTTTTAATCTCTGTTCTTCCCTCTTCTTCTTCTCCTCCTCTTCTTTCAATTTTTGTTCTTTTTTCCGTTTCTCTTCTTCTTCCTTCAATCTCTGTTCCTCCTTTCTCTTTGTCTCCTCTTCCTTGAGTCTTTGTTCTTCTTTCTTTTTCTTTTGTTCTTCTTCTTCTTTCAATCTCTGTTCTTCCCTTTTCTTCTTTTCCTCTTCTTCCTTCAACCGTTGTTCTTCTTTCTTTTTCTTTTCAGCTTCTTCTTTCAATCTTTGTTCTTCTTTCTTTCTCTTTTCTTCCTCTTCTTTCAATCTTTGTTCTTCTTTCTTTCTCTTTTCTTCCTCTTCTTTCAATCGTTGCTCTTCCCTTTTCTTCTTTTCCTCCTCTTCTTTCAATCTTTGTTCCTCTTTCTTTTTCTTTTCCGCCTCTTCCTTCAATCTTTGCTCTTCTTTTATCCTCTTCTCTTCCTCTTCTTTCAGCCTCTGTTCTTCCTTCTTCCTTTTCTCTTCCTCCTCCCTTAACCTCTGCTCCTCCTCCTTCTTCTTCTTCTTCTCTTCCTCCTCTCTCAATTTCTGCTGCTCCTCAGCTTTCTTTTGTTCGTCCGCTTGAGCGTTCTCCTGCTTGTCCGTCTTGGATGTCGCACGAACGTTAATGCTTTCCACCTTCGGCATCTCACCATCGGACGAGGCGAGGTCATCCTTCGGGGTATCTTTACTTTTCTTTATCGTGTTCTCGCTATCCCTCGAGGAATCTTTCTGCTGCTGCTGCGGCTGCTCATTCTGCTGCGAGCGACTGCTGTTCTCCTCCTCGTCGGCGTCTTCCCGTTTCTGACGAGACTGCTGCTCGGGTGTGGGTTCCTCTGTGGGAACGTTCGGCTGCGACTCTGACGACCACGCCTCCATCTGCTCAAGGACAAACTTTCGGAGCGCTGCAACCTGAGGCTCGACCAACTCCTGGAATGCCGAAACATGAGGATGCGCAAACTCTTGGAATGCCAAAAGTTGAGGCTGGACATACTCCTGGTACGCTGTTCGTGGGAAGCGGGAAGGCAGGGGGGATGGGGGGATGGGGGGTAGGGTTAAGTGCATTTGTTTTTCAAACGCTATTGTCTCAAACAGTAAAACTATATTCTTTTGCCTTAATTTTGATACACAATGACACACTTTCATCCTGTCAAAGTTACAGCGCACTGGTACATCACTGCCATTAAAAACCCTCTGTCAGGTACATAGTAAATGAAAAAAAAACCCATCAACAAGAACCCTGAAATGATTAAATCCATCAGATGCACAAAAAAATTAACGAACGACAAACAACACAAATTATCCAAAAGAACCCTACAAAGAATTTTTAAAAACAACAAAAGAACAACATAAAAATGATTTTAAAAAAGAACTCTAAAATGCTTAAATCCCTCAGGTACCCAGAAGTAAATTTTTTTAAAAACATCACAAGAAACCTAGTATTTTGAAAACCCCTATGGCATGCAAAGAATTTTTTTTTTTTTTTTAAGAACATAAAATAAACCTTAAAGTACCCAAACCTCTCTGGAATGCAGAGATAACAAACAACAACAAAAAAAGAAAAAAAGAAAACAAAAACCAAAAAAGCACAAAGCATCAAAGGGAACCCTAAAGTGCTAAAATCCCTCTGACACCCAAAGAATCCCCCCCCCCCACATTCATTAAAAATAAACCTTTGTGGCATACAAAGAGTTGACAATAAATTTTAAAAACCATCAAAAAGGACCCTCCCACAGCACACAAAGAATAATAATAATGATAAATTATAAATAGCATTTGTAATGCATAGCGCATACCCCTGCTCTACAGCAAGCTCAATGCACTTTACACAATATTTTTACCCCAGCAGACCACAGAACACTCAGTAACATTTTTAGTTCCCTGGGAAGCATACAGTGCAAGCAGCTGATTAGGTGCTCAGACACTAACAAACTGACAAGATCTTTCACTGTCTATAGCTGGGTACTCATTCCCACCTGGGTGAAGGGAGGAAAGTTCGTATAAAGTACCTTTACCAAGGACACAACGTCGGGCCCCTGAGATGGGCTTCAAACCCACGAGTCAGAGAGTAAACAATTTTTTTTTAAAATCCATTTTTTTAAAAAAATTCATTATAAAACAATTTTTAATAAACCCCTAAAGCGCCGGCTCGCTCACCTTCCAGCTGCTGGATCTCCTGAGAGAACATGACACTTGGGACAACTACGGCGACGCTGACGATGACCACAAACAGCCAGCACCAGCCGCACGACGATGAGGATGACGATGATGATGAAGCTGCTGCCTTTCTGCCTTTCTCTGGGCTGGATCTGTGAGGACAAACAAAAAGGAGTTATAATTAATTCCGTAAAAGTTGAAAGAAGAAAAAAAAGAGTGGATTTGTGCAAATAAACAAAAAGAGGAGTTATAACTAATTCCGTTACTGTGGAGAAAAAAAAGTGGATCTGTGAGAACACACAAAAAGGTGTTATAATTCCTTCACTGTTGAAAAAAAAAAAAAAAGAGTGGATCTGTAAGGACAAACAAAAAAGAGTTATTATTCCTACAATGTCTCACGAAAAAAGAGTATCTTCGTTCCACCTCATTTTGTTGGATCATTTAAAAAGTGATTGGGAGTCACTTATATATATTTTATGAGTGATTATAACAATTTTTATTGTGCCTGTTTTTATAAATTGGTGTTTATGACAATAAATAACAAACAACATTTGTATAGCGCATTATCCAGCTCTACAGCAAGCTCTATGCACTTTACACTATATTATTACCCCAGCAGACCACATAGGACACTCTTATGCCCTATAGGCAGACCACTGGGGAACAGCAGGGGCTCTCTTGGTCTTGGGGTTTAGGTGTTCGCCTCTCAATCAATAGGGCCTGGGTCTGAATCCGGATTGAATCCCGATAACGATGGGAAAATTTCTTCTCTAAAAAGTTCTCTCTTTTCATATCCTTTCTTTTGCCCCCACCCCCTAACCTCCTTTTCCCCCACCTCGCTGGGGTCCTGACTCTTTCTGCAGCCTTTCTACTGCTACTCCTTGGCTCCTTCTTCCTGCTGTCTTTAATCCACATTCCTGATTTTATGGTAGGACAGATTTGCACCTAGCCTTCTCGGACAAGGGTGAAAAATCTTGGAGGTCCCGTGTGCAAGTTAAAGATCTATTGGTAGTCTAAAATCGATCAGAGTAGGCTTCAGCCGCCACCCGCACAAAATTCAAAATTTTCTACCAACCGAAAATGGTTGGTGTGTCCCGCGTGCTCATCCTCATATGACCTTATGCAGTTGCAAGAGCTGTAAATACACTTACCAAAAAACCCCCCCAAAAAACACAAAAAAAACCTGGGCTGTCACACAACACAATTCCACATACCGCAGTCAAAAAGTATCAAATGAGTATCATTTTTGCAAAAAGTTATTGATTCCAATTTAAAAAAATAAATTTAGCAACTGATTCCACCAACCACACATCATACTCTATGATGGCCCACATTTGGCCCCTGTGCCTTAATAAATTTACTTTACCTACACCTAATCTACATAATGTCAAGCGTATAACATGTTTATCTATATATGCCTGCAATCCTTTTTATTATGTCTTATTTCCTGATTTGATGGCGTATATTTAAAAATTTGCATTAAAAAATGTGCCATCATGGTAAAAAATGGTATAGGTTTAATAGCCCTATCAACACTGTTAGGTTATTTAAGAGGTGGGACCTCCACGTTTTAACGTCCATCTCTAAAAGGACTGGGAAATTTGTGTAAAATGCCTTTCCCAAGGACACAACATCGGACCGAGCTGAGGCTCGAACCAAGAACCCGCAATTCCACGATTCCGAGTCCGGTAGCCTAACCACTAGGCCACCGACGCCACCTCCCAACACAGTAGTAATAAAAATTGTTGTAGTACTATAATAGTTGTAAAGCGCATAGAGCATGTTGTGCAGCTGTAGAGTGTGGATATGCCCTGTATAAATGCAATTATTATTATTATCATTGTTATTATTACTATTATTATTATATTATTATTATATTATTACATTACTATTAATATCATTAACAATCATTATACTTCTAGAAAAACAGAACAGGAAAATAAAAACTGTTTAGAAGCTGATGCTGATGATGCTGATAATGACGACAATGAACCCTTAACCTATAACTACTTTCAGTCATTTGCCAACTAAGAATTACAAAGTTCCATCTGCTCAATACCTAGTTTTGGAGAAATTTGACGTCAAGATTTTTGAGTTTCACAATTATGTCAAAGTTTTTTCGAATGTAATTCTTTGAATATCTTGATAACGACTTCGAATATTCTTACGATTTTGAAACAGCAGATAGAGCATTTGCTTTCTGACACTCATGGTCTTAGTAACTCAAAAACAGTAAAAAAAAATTTTTTTAAATAGTCGGATAGAACTTTGTGACTCTGAGGTAGCGAATTCCCCAACTCACCTGGCCTTCCCTGAATGCTGCACTGCCAGCTTCTTCTGTGCTAGGGGTGCCTTAGAGCTCTGCCCTCCCCCGGCAACAGCCAACTTTTTTTTCTGTTGCTGCTGCTGCTGCTGCTGAGCGCCATTCTGCGCAGACTTCTCACCCTGGGACGGAGGGCTGGCTGAATTCATGAGAAAAAAAACAACCAAACCCTTTCAGATTAGTTTAAGTGAGAGTTTTCAGGCAGTTGCAACACTAATAAGTTATACATAGGCACTGAAGATTAAAGGTGTTAACTAATAGGTCAAATATTTAAGTGCAGAAGTTTAAAGTGTTAACTAATAGGTCATATAATATAAGTGCTGAAGATTAAAGGTGTTAAGTAATAGGTCATACATAAGTGTTGAAGATTGGAGATGTTAACTACAAAGTAACGCACAACGAAAAGGAGGCGGAGAGATAATGACAATAGACATTCGATCAGATCGAAGGAGCAAACACAATCAGTTTTTAGTTTTTAGTAGAAGTTTCAACAGTAGCAACAGCATAAGGTCACATGAGCGTCAAGGGGTGGATGTCAACAGAGAAGTTCAAACGGGGAATCAGGCTCACTCTGCTCACCTCTCTAGCCTCAACAGCACAAAGTCTCCTTCAACTATCAAGGCAACCCAGAAATAGCAGTTCAAAAGAGAGTGACAAACATACAAAAGAAGTAGAAGAAAATGACAACAGTAAGGATGAGGAAAGAAAAAGCTGCAGTTCCCCCTATGTTGTAAGTTCAGTCCTATAAATTTCTACCTAAATTCCAGACAAGACCTGCACTTTTTTCTTTACATCCAGGGCTAAATTCATTCTCTAATTTTTCTGCCTCAAATAAAAAATGAATTGCGAATCAAACTTTTAAAAAGCCATTTCTTATTATTTGGTAGTTGTTGACTTTTTTTAAAAAGAAGCATACCCATATATAACAATGTTCATTTAAAGACAGGAAAAAGGAAGAAAGTCATACAGACAGACAACAACAACAGAAGGAAATTTAAAAAGTAGGACCTGTCACCTACCAGTGGCACCTTCCAACCACCTCACCATTTCTTAGAAACTATAAAGTCTTTGGTTGTTGTTTTTTAAAGTGAATAAACTACACAAAAGACAGATTCTATTTCTTTTCTTTCTATTTGCTACTTAGGTGGGCCTGTCTCATCTTCCTAAAGCACTTAACAGTTGTTTCTTTGTGTAATCCTTCCTTCTCTTAAATTAAAAAATCCCCAAAATCCAGCAGATTCACTCACCTGACCTCAGCTCCATTTCCCTAAATATTTTTTTGGGGAAAAAAAATCGCCCTTTCTTCTCTAGTTGTAATCAGAAATAAATTTTTAAAACTTGTTTCAAGTGCAATCAACAGAATGTTATGTGTTTCACTAAGCTGATCTGAGCGCACCGTTTACCTACTGATCTGATTTTTAGCTATGAGAGTTCATGTGCAGCTGAAAACTATCAGTATCAGTGAGCACTTCTATTTCCTACTCCTCACAAGACTGTAGCATTCAGAATCAATGCTTCTTTTTACAATATATATATTTGGTTCATTCTGTGCAGTCTCAAAGAACCACTTTGCTAAAGGTAATCCCCACAGGAATATAACGACAGACACCAGTGCACCACACACCAAACCCAAGACATTCACAAAAGGTGACTACTGAAGTTAAGTACAGTAGACCCATCTCCCTTCCCATCACATTCCACTTCATTAGCAAACTTCAGAGTAATTACCCCACTCTCCCCTCCCCTCCCCCCCCCACCCACTATCCTTTTCTTAATCATCCATCAATAAACTTGAATAATGAGAACTCCCCCCCCCCCCACCTCCAATCCCTAATCTTCCCTCTTCACTTTTACCCAATCTCAGCACAACAGTCCCCTCTCTACCACCACCTATTTTCCTTTCATCACCAAGTTTTAAGTGCAGCGTATTCCCCAACCCCCAACCGTTTTTGGGTTGTTGTTTTTTTTTTCTCCAATCCTCTATCACTTGCGGTCTTAATCTTCTATCATTTATGATGCCCTCAAGACAATGTTGCAGCGAGAATTGCGTGCCTGAGGGCATCATGCGAGTTTACGAGAGACAGCCCCTGAGCTGCAGGATCAATAACAACAAACAAGAAAGGGGTCGTTCAAAACGCCCGTGCTGCACCTCACACTGTTCCTTCTCCAGTCAACAGATCATGCATTTTTAATGAGCCCAAAATCAATTACAATCAATTTAAGTCCCCGGTTGAGGGCATTCATTTTTCAATTCTTACCCCCTGCGTGTGTCAATCAATGGTGCTTACCTTTTCACAGTAAAAAATTTAACATCTGTTTTAAATAATTGATTTCACCCTGCACGTGTCTTTTGAAAATAAATTCTGACCTCTTAGCCCCTTTTAACCGCAGACTCTAAGAGTCAATTACTCACAGTCCTGCTTCTACATTTACAAAACAAGTCTTTTCATGATGACATCGGGGCTAAACAGTCAATAATTATTTTTGCTTTACTATTCTGTCCTGTAACTACATTAACAAATAGTTCCCATACAAAACATACACAAATGAGGGTTGTTTTTACCAGTTCTCAGAAAAATCGATCAAACGATTGAAAGTGTCTCTGCTAATAATTTTGTAAACATATTTAACCCAAAAAAAAAACTTTGGAAGAATGTTTTAACAATCACAATAAAGTGGAATGTCAAGGTGAAATATAGTAACAGTACCATCCCTGCCCAATACATTTGGGCAATTTTTTTAGGTATTTTTTTTCCCCGAAAATTTCTCTGCTAGACTGCTCAAACTCAGTGTCAATTAGTTTTTTACAGGTACTGGGACTGCAACTGAGATAACAAATTTGCTCTGCTGTTTTCTAACAAAATTTACAGAAAACTGTAATTAACCAAGAAAGGATATTTTCCTATAGATGTGTAAATTAAATAATGGGTTTTTTTTGCAATTGTTTTACGGTGCTCGAAACTGCATTAGGTCAAATGAGCATGAGGGACACTTTAAACATTTTCCGTTAATATGAAATGTTGAATTGTGCGCGGGAAGCGGCCGAAGCCAACTCTTATCAGTTTTTGACCATGAAGGGGTCTTTAACGTGCCCAACTTGCACACGTGACCTCTGAGATTTTTCACTCTTATCCGAGAAGACTAGCTGTAGATCTTTTCTCCCATAAGATCAGGGGTGTGGCTGAAAGACAGCAGTAAGAATGAGCCAAAGATTAGCAGTAGAATGGCTGCAGAAAGAGTCAGGAGCCCAGAGGAGGGGACAAACGAGGTGAGGGGGTGGGGGTACAAAGTGGAGACGAAAGAAGACGACAGACCATTGTTAGAGAGCAGGAAAGGATGTGAAAGGAGAACATTTTAAATAAGAAAATTTTCCTTTGCTATCCGGATTTGAACCTGGGACCTATTGAATGAGAGGCGAACACCTTAACCTCTAGGCCATGAGAGACTCTGAATAATACAATACAGTTGGTTGTACAATAAGGAGTAAACCTAACCTACACTAATATTGGTCTCAACACAACCAGCCGGCCGCCTACTCAAAGTTGAAGCAGTAAAAATCCATATATATATATACACAGTTACACATATTAATAATATATATTCATTTTCCATTCTTTACGAGTATTTCCAGTGTAACACCTCTTGCAGCATCATGCATTAAATTTTTAAAAAGAAGTAGGCTCAGTCATCAATATAAAGTAGTCCTGACTCAGCCGTAACAGATGGGCCTTTGTGATTAATTTTTCACCTTTCCATTTCATTTTACACAAGGTGCAATGAGTATGGGATTATGCCATTATATAAAGGGCAGCCTGACACTTCGTGAGCTGTCTGTCTTTCAAATGTTATATCAAACCATTATGCTATTCTAACCCCCAGTGGACACAGCCAATCAATTTAACTGAAACTGAATCCAGGTCAGCAAAATTTTCCTCCATGGAGGGTCAAAAGGTACTGTATATAAATATAAGCAGAAAAGGACCAATTCAATTTGCAACTTTGAAAAATAAACACATTTGACCTTGAAGGTCACCTTGAAATTTAGTTGAATTTGGTCGAATTGTGCCAAAAAGGTAGCTGTTTTGTCTCTCCATCAGGACAAATCTGGTAGACCTCAACTCAATCTAATGTATTCGATTGGCAGCATGCACTCAGCATATCTGGATGAGGATGAGATGTGGGCCTACGCCAGGTCGCCTAAGACCAGCAATCATAAATTTTGAGCTGCAACTAATTTTACTTTGCCAAAAAAAACGTATTTTTTTATTCAGAAGGTGAATAATGGGTTTGTGAATTAACATCCAATTTATAATTAATTAATATAAGACCACAGAGGGAAAATTTTTTTGGCTTCGAATTTTTTAACATTCTGAATCGAGAGAGAGAGAGAGAGAGAGAGAGCAAAACAAATTTGTCGACAAAAGTAGGGTTGCAATTGCCAATACACACTGCAAATTTCACTTTCGTAATTGAAACATTTATTTCTCATTTACCTCTTTCAGTAATTTGCAATTTCCACAGCAGGCTGTATAAAAAGTAATTTTTGCTTTAAACTTATTCGGCTCGACACTCGGCTTGTTTTATGCTAACTGCTTTATCAGTCACAGAACAGACAAAAGAATAAATCAGCACACATAAATATAATGACTGCATGTGCTCTACGCTAGGCTAGAGAAGTGAGAAAGCTCAAATTCAAATTACAAAATCGTGAAATAAAAAGCACACCTAATGTCATGTGCCCATGTGTCAGGCCTAGCCTAGCCAATGTGAAAATAATATATAGGCCTATAGCTAACACAGACAATAGGATAGGGCATGATTAACCAAAGGTTTCCTGACAGACATGTAGGCCTACACAATTCCTTGCTTTAGTTATAGTAGGAGTTTAGTATTAGTAAGTGTTTTAAAGCACTTGCAACACAATAAGGTCATATAAGAGCGAAGATTAGAGGTGGTACAAGAGAGTAACAAACACAACAAAAAGTGAACGCAGGGAGAAACAGACGATAGATTTTTTATAGGAAAGAAGGAGCAAACCACACCAGAGCACCCACAAACCACCCACCACGATACGTTGTCCTGGTACCAATATACATCGGAAACCATACATAACAGGCCCGGTAATAACAGGGATGTTTAAAATCCCCGTTTTTTCCTACTCTTTGTCTCTATTAAAAGTAATCGGCGATAGCGGCCTCATCGCAACCCAACCGGTGATAGCAGGGACAAAGGCTCGTCAACAATGTGTAAAAAGTAAGAGAGAGAGAGAGAGAGAGAGAGAGAGAGAGAGAGAGAGAGAGAGAGAGAGAGAGAGAGAGAGAGAGAGAGAGAGAGAGAGAGAGAGAGAGAGAGAGAGAGAGAGAGAGAGAGTAACGAAGTGATGGAGCAAGCCCACGCAAGCCATGCCACTGCGAGCATACGCAGCGTGTGAAGCGAGAGAGGGCTACAGTGTGCTGCAGACCTCGATCTAGCCCGAAACCAAGCAACACGCGCGACTAATGTCACCAACGATGTCAAGCGCAATAGAAAATGCCTTTCAATTGACAAAAAATACAAAATAATCCAGGCTGTTGACAAAAAGCAGGCTCCACTGGCAGAGATTTGTCATCAGTTCGACATTCCACCAGGGTCGATTCACACCATTATCAAGGATAGAAAGAAGATAGTGGCAGCATACTCCAATGGAAAGTTTGCTCTGGATCGAGAGAAGATGAGACTACCTGATGCAGAGGCTGTGGACCAAGCTCTTCTGATGTGGTTTAAGGAGGCAAGGAGAAAGTTGGTGCCAAAACCCCTGTCCGTGGGTACTTGTGAAAAAGGAAACTACCCATGAATAATAAGTACAGCTGGATTAGTCCACAAATGCTTACTTTCCTTGCATTTCTGATTTAACAGGGATCGGATATAACAGGACATTTTCTCTACTCCCACCATCCCTGTTATATCAGGTTTCCACTGTATGCTATTCATAATCCATACGCTTTTTGTGTGTGATAAATGTAGGCAAACTACCACATGTAGTGCAGATGATTCTCTAGTCCACAATCAATGTCACAAGTGTTTTGGTTTCTCTGTTCTTTCTTCTGTTTCGCATGCTTAACAAAATTTGATGATTAGCTTAGAAAGAGGCTACTTACGGGTTGCTAAAGCAGAATTTAATATAAGATGCCACCCTCGAATTGTTAACAGTTAAGAAATAAGGGGGTAATCCGGTTTTGGCCCCAACGATAACGTTGGAGTGTGGGTTTTGACTCCACCGACGATTACTTCAGGTTCTAAACGATTACTGTTCGACCCGCATGTCAATATGGCAGATTTCACTGTAAGGGTGTGAGAGACAGAACGGGGTTGTTTTTTTTTTTTAATCTTCCTGTTGTACTGTTTGGTGTTCAATTAGCGTTGTTTTGTTTGTTTATGAGCCCAATAATCATGAAAATAAAAAACAAGTGTTGATTTTGTTTATTTTGTTTGTTATTTTGCATAACAGTGTCACGGACGTAAGGATTTCAACTTAGTGCATTTCCCAACGTTCGCGAGTCTGACAATTTTCTTTTTAAATGGTCTATTATGCTAGATTTTCTCCAAAAATGGCTAGAACACGCAAGAAATACATTTTTCTAATGTAATAAGAGAAAAAAAGAGAAATCTTACATCGGTTTGAAACGGGAAGGAACAGAGCAAAATGGTGGTCGAAAATCGCGGGAGCAAGTCCGACATTTTGACCTGACGAGAAGTGCCAAATTTACTTCCAAAAGCGAAATGAATGTAAGTTATTATGCTCCGACTACGCGATGCTCATTTTTACACCGATTTTAGCCGTAATTTGCGAAAATTGAAGAAATTATTAGTAGATTTGAGAGTTGTTTGTGATGCATCCCTCCCGCTGAGTCTCCGACATCTTACAGTCGAACTTGGCATTTCTCTGAGATTTACGGAAAATCCCAGGGACTTTCCGCAACGCGAAGGCTAAAAACTACTTCCGTTTGGCACCATTCTTTCATTCTTTAGCATCTCTTTCGAGGAGGTGGATGTTTTGTCTTGTTTTCCAAACATTTTCAGTACTAAGTCTCTTATGTCCAAAGCACACCAATGTCGGAATCCATTACAAATCCAACTCAATGATACGCGTTAATTTGTCATATCTATTTTGTTTATATCGATTAAAAGACTGCAACACAATGTGTCGCACGTGTAGGAAGTAAACAAATGACATCAGGGACAAAAATAGCAAGTTCTTCTGTAATTGTCTTGTTTGATGGCCAGTGAATGCTTTGAGTAGTCCAGATCGGTGCCCATGATGATTCCGTGGTCTTATATATATTAGGCTGTTCTGACGCTGAGAGACACTTTTTCAACTGATTTCTTGTTGTTTTTTTCCTTTTTCTTTTTATTTCCTTTTTCTATTGTTTATTTTTATTATTTTCATTTGTAGGGTACTTAATGATTTTTCTGGCCAGTGATTCGATAAAATGGATTATTATACCAAATTAAGTGATATTCATGGATTGTGTTGTTTGCACAAAGGTAAGGTTACATTTCATTAAATACCTTTTTTCACAAGCCTTTGCTCTCTCTCTACTAACATTTTAAATTTTCTCCTTCAAAGGCTTTTCCAATTTAATATAATGGATAACCCTTTGAAAAAGTTCAAAATCCTGACAAAAATTGGGAAAGTGGGAAACCTGTGGGTCCTCACTGTGAAATCAGATGCCATATAACTAAGATGTTCGATGTGCGGCGAGCGAGAGATATCAAACATAGTTGCAAAACATCAAATTGCGGTTATATTCAGGGGGGGCATGCATGCCCTCCTGAAACCCCCTATATTTTTATTAGGTCGGGGGGAAACCCCCCTTATTAAAATCAAATGAAATAATAATATTACTGCTCATTTTGTACTGAAAAATAGCAGCGCATCTCTCGCTCTATTTTGGATTATAAAACATTGATACAGAATATTTAAGTCAGTATCGATATCCAGTAATCTTGGGGCCAAAAACAGAGAATGCCAGAAATAAAAGGAGGAACTTTTTGGATACTCAATAGTTTTCTTTAAAAAACTTTTAAAATTCTGGGATTTTATTTACTTTATTTTGGCGCTTTTTTGGTAGTTCCCACAACCCAATTATTGTTCGTCTATTTTCTTGTTTCTGGAATATAATTGATTTGAAACTTTACTGATATCGACTTATATCGAATATCTATTTGAAGAGATTTCGACTTATGAATCTCCTTTAGTACTAAATCTATACACATAAAAAAAAGAAAATTACTTGAATTAAACGCTTCTTTGTAACACAGTAAATGGCACGGAAAATGATTCACTTTCCAACTTGGCAATAGGCCCAATGCCATCAAAGAACAGTTGGCCAAATTGTACTTCCACTTCCCACCAAAACAACAATTGCGACAGTTTGGACGACAGCCAATTTCCCAGACGCACTTCATCATTGTGCAATTAACAACACTAGGCCTAGGTGTAGTGTTTAATTATGTAATTATGACAAATAATCGATTTACCTCAATCAAGTATTTTTACCTAGATCTACTAGATTCTACTAGAATACTAAATCAAGCTCAATTTTGCGAATTTCTAATAAAAAACAGGCCAAAATTAAAATAGGCCGGCTCTATTTCTCCGAACACTCGAGAAAATAAACTTGGACTTTATTTCTCCGAACGGTTTCCATTCTCGAGATTACGCTTTTAGTAGGCTACAGTTGTAATGGAACGTTTGTTCACGGCACAGAATTCTACAATTTTTCTGTTGTCACAGTGTAGAATTCTGTGTTTTATGGTGAACGCAAAATTTGGTGAACGCGCACCGGGTGAGAATAGCCACAAGACTCGCCTGCACTATTCTCACTCCGGGTGAGAATAGAGGTGGCCTTGGAGAAATAGAGGTCAAGTTTATTTTCCAGAGCCTTCGGAGAAATAAGGTAGTCACTTCGCTTAAAATAGGGGGGGGGGGGGGGCTACCGAAAAAGCGCCTTTATTTATATTACAAATCAAGAATATTTCAATTCACCACCGCTGCTTCTGGATTAAACAGTCTCAGGCAGGGTTAAGTCCACATAATACACTTAGAACATTGCACCACAATCATTATCATAATTAGTTATTTAGTGGGATAAGGCGATAAGGCATGATGCCACACGGGCATGAACTTGAAGAGTCCCATGGCATGGTCCACACCACGGGTCACACTGAGAGCAAGCACCTGAATGGGAATGGAATGACAGGCTGATAAAAAAAATTATCGGATGGAAGATGGAGAATGAGCATCATGCAAGGAAGCTCAGCAAACGGAAAGGAATCTTGTGGATATGAATGAGTTAGTTGAGAAACTCATTCCTGTTTTGTGCTAGAATCTAGATCTAGATACCTAGACTAGACTAGATCTAGATTCTAGATATTCTAGAATTCCAGTTCCAAGAAATAGAAGATTCTTATCCAGAATCTGAGTCTGAGAAACAGGCTAAAATGCTAAAAAGTTTATTTAGACAGAGATATCTAATCTAACTTTACTAAAACTAATCAAGATCTTACGTTTGTCTTTCTTCGCTGCACCTTTCTTATTCTTTGCCATCTTGGGTGTGTTGATCTATTCGAAAAACATGAAAGCAAACTTTTTCAATTCATGAAATAATAATTCGCCGGCAAGAACCTTGCGAACGGCGAAGTCAACTTTCGTTTACGTGTATTCCCCTTTTAACCCGGAAGTAAAATAGGAATAGGTCTCCGGTATCCGTCGCCGCTATCCAAATATAAACGATGTTCTCAGATTGTATCCACAATTTTAAAGGTACATAACATAGAACACGCCGGAGGGAGGGGGGGTATGTGTCTTGCGGCGCACGCAATATAAGGTCATGTTTTCATTAGTAAGAAATTTTCGATTTTTACCTGGGTGGCGGCCTAAGCCTACTCTTATCAATTTTGGATCACAATGGGATCTTTAACGTTCGCAACTTGCACACATGTCCTCCGAGATGTTTCACCCTTATTCGAGAAGCTTAGGTATCGGTCTTTCCTGCCATGAAGATCAGGGCTGCGGATGAAAGACAGCAGTAATTTAAGAAGAAGCCAAGAAGAAGCCGTAGAAAGTCTGCAGAAAGAGTCCGGAGCTCAGAGGAGGGGGCAAAGGAGGTTGTGAGGAGGTGTTAGCGAGCGCCACAAAACGCTTACCAAAAAAAAAAAGAAAGAAAATAAAGTATTATTCTCAGCCGCGCTCAAGTCGTCGTCTGTCCTAAGTTTCGGAAGGTACTGAATTTGCACATTTTTCGAAATAGAAGTAATTTTAAACCTAATTATCCCCTTTGGGTGTATAGGGCTCAAGCCTCCTCGACTGTGTGCTCAAGGTGACCGTACATATAACGTAGACGTGTCAGAGTCAGATGATGCAGAATATACTAAACTTTAAATTTGTAAGCTACATAAAGGGTTAGTGTAGGGCTTTTAACCTTCATTGCCTCCCATTCTCTACCCCAACCCCTCCTATCACTTCCATTCCCATCCCCACTCCCTTCATTCTCACACCCCTTCTCCCTCATTCCATTATCCTTCCGTTCCCCTCATTCCGTTCCCCAATTTCTCCTCCGAACCCTCACCCCATTGCCCACAATTAGCAGTACCGACGCCTCCGTTAATACGTCATTGGCTATGGTACTACCACTACCACTGCGCCGTGCACAAAAGGAGCACTCTAAATTATAACGTTTTGGTGGTGCTAGAACTGAAGTTCATTAGATTTAAAATATCATTATTATTAAAGATATAACAAGTTTGTTCCTTTTATGGACTTTGTTCATCTGCATACGCCATGCGTAATCACAGTAAATATTAATTCCAGTTGACTACTTTTTGCATTGTAAACCTTACACATGTTAGTTGAAGACAATCTATGCGATAATGTTATAATGTAAGCATCTGGTCTGCTTTCTATTTAATTGAATGGCCTTATTTCTGCACACTAAAGTGTCGTGTTTTTTTTTGGTGTGTTTTTTTGTTTCTTTGTTAGTTTTGCTTTTTTTGGTAGGGGGAGGGTTATTGTTTGCGTTTGTTTATTTGTTTAGTTGGTGGGGTTTTTTTTCTTTTTTGTTGTTTGTTTTGTTTATTTGTTTGTTTGTTTGTTTTTTGTTTGTTTTTTAGGAGGGGGGGGGGGTAATCACTAAAGGAGGAAGGTATTTTGGTTTTCTTGACTTAACCCAGCAAGTTTAAGTGGCTGAGGGGGTAAAATTAGGGTTTGGGAGTCTGCATGTTGGGGCGGGAAATGTTTTGTAAAAATAAAGGTCGTCTCCACGAGATCAGCTCGCTGTGAGGTTGAGAGTGCTTAATGGTAATTGGGCCGTCGGTGGAGAGGGGACTAAACTCCAAAAATCAAACTAAAAATTGGCCTTCAATTAATTATGTTCATTACTATAAACTTTAAACTATAAACTATAAGCTATAAAATATAATAAACTATAAACTACAAATAAAGATTTATGAAACGCAGGAATGCGCAGTTACTTGTATTATGTGTTATTATCTAAACCTCACAAGAAAGACACGACGTCACTATTTAGAATGCATGCCTTTTCTTAGGGAGTGCAGAAAAAGGGCTGGGGCATGAAGGGTAAACAAGGCTGAAAACGAATTTACACATTTTTAGATTAGATTTAACAAAAATGAATGGTCTGTTGAAGGAGTTGCTGCAAAGTCGTTGAGTGTTTGAGAGGGAGATAAATGGGAAAAAAAACAAGCCTTTATTGTTTTGTTCTTTTGTTGTGTTTATTCAACAAAAAACCCAAGTATATTCACAAAATATAAAAAAGTGTGATATCACAACACAAAAGGCACGCCTATTACAACAACAACCGTTACCAAAAGTAATCCCAAAACTGAATTTATTGTTGCTTTTTGCATAATTGTTTATCTATCCAGAAGAACAGAAATCCAGTCGAGTCTTTCGACTGCAACATTTATTTATTTGACAGCAGCAAAAGTGCATATCCCAAAATTGAACTATATTCTAATAGATTTTATAATTAATTTTTTTTTTGTGTGTGTGGTTTTTTTTTGGGGGGGGGGGTGTTTTGTTTTGTTCCACTCGTTGTTATCACCATTGTTATCGCTTTTTATTGTTTCTTTCAGATGACCAGAGGCTTCACAGCTGTTGTCAGTGTACCTCATTCTACGACAGTCAAGTATTGTACTTTGTCCCTACAGGTGGCCCACAGATGGAGCAGGGCCGGGCTCAGCGTGTTACGGAAACCTGTACAGAAGAAAATAAACTTTAAAATACAAACAAACAATGAAGCTGAATTTGAAGAACTAGGAAAAAAACCCCCAACCAACCAACCAAACAACCAACCAACCAACCAACCAACCAACCAACAAACCAACCAAACAACCAACCAACCAACCAACCAACCAAACAAACAAACAAACAAACAAACAAACAAACTAACTAACTAACTAACAAACAAACAAACAAACAAACAAACAAACAAACAAACAAACAAACAAACAAACAAACAAACAAACAAACGAACGAACAAACGAACGAACGAACTTAAAGACCAATGGTACCCATTTTATATAGGTGCTTAGATCTATACGCTTCTGTACACACAATTTAGACTATTCTACTAATTGGCAGGCTTTGATCATCCTATCTGCCAGGGCCAACACAAGCTCTAAAGGGATCCATCGTCCCTGTAGAAAGACCGATCGAGATGCTCAATAAAACTTCTCCCCACACGGGAATTGAACTCAGGTCTTCTGAGTGCGACGGCAAATTGTTCGATCAATGCCAGTCGCTCTTAATATTTATTATAATAATAACAATAATAGCAGCAACAACAACACGTTATTGTATAGCGCATGCCCCCGCTCGACTGCAAGCTCTATGCGCTGTACACAATATAAGCTTATAGCAGACCACGAAACACTCAGAAACATTCTCAGCTTCCCGGGAAGCATACAGTGCAAGCAGCACTAAACAAACTATGACAAAGTCTTTCACTGTCATAGCTGGATACCCATTCCCACCTGGGTGAAGGGGGCAAAATTTGGACACGACAAGGATACGACAACTTCTGGCCTCTGACGGGATTCCAACCCACGACCTTACGGTTGCGAGTCTGAGAGCCTAACCACTAGGCCACCGACGCTACCAAGTAGGCCTACATACTTGTGTACAGAGTATTGTAATACACATTTTTACAAACCTGAACGAAACGAAATGTGCTTGTCAATTAGAAATCGAAGTCATCGTCATCACCTCCTTGGGGCGGAGGGTTAGAGTGGAGAGCGAACTTTGAGAAAGCCATTCCATTGGCCCTAGTGAGAGAAAGGCGGAGCGATGGGCGGGGTTAGAGGGTAATACATGGTGATAGGAAGTTTGTGATTGGCTGTAATATATCGTGCGGCAGTCTGAAATGGATGTTCATTGGAGGAAACTGGGCGAGTGGGGGAAAGCGAGGAGAACGTTTGGTCGGCGAGGTGAGGATTTGTCCCAGAGTAGATCTAGGTCTTGTTGTACTGAAATTGGGTGGGTTAGTGTGTGTGTGTGTGTGTGTGTGTGTGTGTGTGTGTGTTTGTGTGTGCGTTTGTGTATGTGTGTTTGTGTGTGTGTTTGTTTGTGTGTGTTTGTGTGTGTGTGTTTGAGTGTGTGTGTGTGTGTGTGT